TCACATCCTTAAGGGATGGTATGAACTTGGTTTCGTACGAATACATAGCGTGCCAACACGGGAAGCAATCACCAGGAGTTTTGATCCTGTCTGAGTTCGCGGGTGCGGCGCAATCCCTCGGTGCGGGCTCGATCCGCGTCAACCCTTGGCACTTACAGGAATCTGCCAATGCCATCTACGAGGCCTTGACCATGGCGCCGGAAGAACGGCAGGCTTTGCACGACTACGCCTTCAAGCGCTTCGAACACGCACTTATGCTTTTTTCGGAGTGGAGCCGAAGCATTTCGAACAGCAGAACACTGTGAATAGTGAATAGTGTCCTAGGAGGTCGTAGCGCTAAGCAGCCACACATGTGACCCACGACCAGGTATGTCACAGAGCATACGGCCCAGAAGTGGGCGGAGACTTTCCTGCAGTGCTTGCAGGAAGCTTGCTCTGATCTTATGGAAGTCACATCGCAGGTGCCTCCGTCAGGGCCCCACTGCTCTCTTAGAATCGTGCGTTGCTGCTCGCGACTCAGATAGGACTGCTCTGATAGCCTGAGGCTCTTACCGTATGAAGAGCTGCTGTCGGACTGGTCCGAGTCCGTTCAGCGGGTGCTTGGAAGCAAGTAGAGTTCCGATCACATCAAACGATGCGTAAACGTGTGTAGAAATGAAACTAGAATTCTGGAGTCCTCAGAAACCATGCGCACCCAGGCGCGAGGACCTGAAACCTCAAGGGTGAGTTCACCAGTTTCATATTTCGAGCCCTCCCCCAGGTGGTAGTCATTGACCTCATGGAATGCTTAGCGCCTGCGCGTCGCTGGGATGCAAATGGCTACACAATACTGCCGTAACATGCCGTGTTTTTCTCAGCCCGGCCTTTCGGGGGTCTGGGTCACCAAGTTTGTCGACAAACCTAGGAGGAAACGTGTGTGATTGAATCGTGTCACCAAAGCAGGGTGTGCCTTCCTCGTGGTAAACAGACCAAGCCGGTTGCGATAATATTCTGTCCAGGGCATGCAGTCGCCGTCGCTCCCGGCAGCGGAAGATTGTCACTCTACTAGTGTGTCAAGTGCACCATGCATCGTTGACTGCTTGCAATCTCTCTGAGGTGAGCGGATGGGCATGCACGCAAGGGGTCGGCCGAAGTTTATCAGACTTCCGACAGAGCTGTGGCAGTGCTTGAAGACAATAGCCCTTAGCCCAGGGACATCTGTCATAATTACGTCCGACAGGGATCGGAAGACCCTTGCTGCCTTGGTTGGCAGTCTGCCCGTCTATGTGGCACCGGAAGGGTGCTGCGTGATGCGCCGGCCGAACGAGGAGGAATGGATCCACCTGGTAGACGATGGTGACGTAGAGGGCCGCGAGGAGTGGATGGACGGCGTGCGAGCTGTCTTCAATTACTTCACGGAGCGGACGCCGGGGTCCTACATCGAAAAGCAGGAATACATGTATCGCTGGTCCTGGGACCACGCCCAGTTCGACTTTGGCTCGGCACAAGCCCGTGAGGTCCTGATCCATCTCTGGGCGGGCCCACTGGTCAACAGCGAAGCTGAAGTTGTTGTTGGCGATCGCACAATCACCGTGCGGCCGCATGCGTGCTCTCGCAGTGCCTGCTTGGAGAAGCTGCTGACGACTGAGCTGGGGGCCTTGCAGAATGTTGACTTTGCGCTTTGTTTCGCCGTTGTTTCGCATCGAGATGAAGATGTGTTTGACACAGTGGAGGGCTTCTTCGAGGAGTCCACTGCTTCTGAGTATGCATATGTGAGTGCAGGTGAGGGTGAAGCAAGTGGGCTGGCCACGGGCTTGATGAGCTTGTGCTCTTCGCCCAGGTCGTCTGCAGGCATGGATCGGGATCGGAGTGAGTCCGTTCTCCACACCCCCACCGGTCCTGCTCCGGAGGTGCATCCGGGAGAATTGCCCCCACCCTATGACTGGATACCTACTGCCCAAAGGGAGAGGGAGGATGCAAAGCTTCAAGAAGCTGAGCTGAGCGAGGCGTGCCGTGCAAGCGCCGATGCTGCGGATGCCGAGCCAGAGGATGCCTCCGCCGCAGAGCACACGCCAAGCTCCACAGACTTCGAGCTGCGCCAAAGCTTCGCCCCCTGCTACACCATGTCACTAGGCATGAAGAAGACCAAGGCCCAGTATGCCTTACCCCACCCCTACCATGTACAGAACCTCATCCGTGCCATGGCAGCCAGACTTCCGCAAGCCTGACTCGCCTTTAGTAGCACCGGCGACCGCAGGCAACGTAATGTTGCTCATGGGGGAGCGCGCCCCATCGCTGAGACCAGCATGCAAAAAAGGAAGCACTTTCTGCTGTGCGGCACCGCCTTCTGATCCGACCGCCATCCTGGCCAGGGCGAAGGTGAAGTCCGACGCGTGGCTGGCCAAAAAGGAGGCAGAGGCCGAAGAGGCTGAGGCAGCGCGGATCAAAGCCCTCAAGGCCCAGGACAGCCAAAGTTGCACCGAACATGGCAATGCATGATCAGTGTAATGCACATACACGACATCGGTCATCCGGCGAGGAGTGGGATGACATTCCCGACGGAAAGCCAGGAGGGGATGCCGATGGTTTCAGTCCGGAGTGCATGCCTCAGAGTTCCCCCTCCTTAGTCTGCTCGATTCTGAGAAGCTCTGCGGCTCAGAGGCTCGAGCCTCTCGACGCCCTCGAGGAGGAGGCGTCCCGTCGTCCCGGGCCAGTGCTTCTTCGCATGAGTCCGCTAAAACGAAGCTCCACTTTTGGCGTTTATTGGCGTTTCGAAGCAATCCTTGCCGAAACGCTAAAGCAAACACGCAGAGAGGGAATGGCACTTCAAGGTAACAGAAGACCAAAACTAAATTATCGAGCATTGGAAGTCAGAGATTTCGGATTCGACCGGGCTTAGCTTAACTTCAGAAATCGTGGCCGGCATGATGAGCCCGGAGATCACGGAAGTAGCGTGCTAGGCTACTGGGCTACTAGACGTTTCGTGACACCCGTTGAAGTCGATCATAGATCCACAGGTCGATGCAGGCGCTTACAGCCCCGTCCTCGAGCCCCTCAGCCCGGAACCTGGCTGCGTAGGCTTGTGGGAATATAGGGTGTTGCATGGCGCATGAAGATGTTAACTTCCAGCTCCAGGGTTGAATCTTGAATTTTGAATCCTCTGAGAGGTTTCTGAAGCTGCGGGCACAGCGACAGCAAAAAGTTGCGACGTCCTTTCGAGGCAAGTACGATGCAGCCGATCTACTGGACCCAGATGAGGATTCAGACTTGTCTCGTTGCCTTGATACCGGTAGCGAAGTCAGAGCACTTTGACTGTGGCTTGTATGAAGTGTTGCCGCTTGCAGGACATGCAGGTGCTGCGTCAGGCCAGATCTTTGAAAGAATGCGTCATGCCTTCGTCGTAGCTCCTTTGGTCTGCACGGGCTGCAGGTCCGCAAAACCATCATCGAAGCTTTCGGCCACGGGCTCGCTTCTGCTAGTGCTCTGCAGAACCTCATAGCCAGACCACGCGTTTTCGAGGTGGTACAGTCGGCGGCGCATCATCTTCAGCGGATGCCGGCGTTGACCGCTCGCGTGAAGAGCTGAGTACAGATCACCTATATATGCTCGACCGACACCTCCTGACGCTCCGTGTGGTTGATCTGATTTCCTCATCGACATTTAGTGTCCTCGTTACGGTCTGTGCTTGACATGTCACCACCGGAGGAGATGACGAGCTCCTCGCTGCCGAGCGAGCCAAGGGCATGAGCCAGGGAGAGGCACAATGTCAACCGAGCAGCTGCAGCTTGCCTGTGCATGCGTCGTGCCCTTGCCTTCCGAAGCATTCATTCGCAAGGCGGCCTTCAATGCCATGGGCAAAGGAGATGACAGCGAGTACCACGGAGAGGCATGTTGGGTCTGCAGGGATGGGTCCCGCAGAGGTTGGAAGCTGCCGAAACAGAAAACCAAGCACCTTTTCGAGGCGTCAGGATCCTGTATGGATTCCTTCAGAACTCTGCTACTGTAACCCTGTGCTTCGCGACTCGCTCAGCCATGCAGGACGCAACAAAAATGCCAAGTGTCATTTGTCACCCCCGTCTACCGTGTGATGCCAGGTAAGTGTGCCAGTTCCATCTTGTTGCAGGTACTTCTGGAAAGAAAGAGGTACGAGTGGGAGGACAAGTACAAGCCGCGAAAGCCAAGATTCTTCAACAGGGTGAAGACAGGTTTCGAGTGGAACAAGTACAATCAGACGCACTACGACCACGACAATCCACCACCAAAGATTGTACAAGGACGGGAACTGCAAACTGCACAACGCTTGGTACTTCAGAAGCTTGTGCGGTTCAAACGCACACTTGCCGTTCACGGTCTGCTGTCAGGCTACAAATTCAACATATTCTACCCAGACTTGATCGACAAGGCCAAGGCGCCGACATACCACATTGAAAGGTCGGACACGCAAGACACCGCGACGAGCTCAGAAATGCAGCCCGCGGACATTCCAGACCCCAGAAGGAAGACTGGGGTCGTATGCACTTCTGAGGTTATGCTCCGATTCAGTGCTGGTCCCCCTTACGAGGATGTAGCCTTCAAAATCGTAAACCGCGAGTGGAACCTCTCTCACAAGCTGCTGGGTCAAATTGCGCTTGTGCTGCTTTGCTTTAACGTGCGTTGATATCCTCTCTCCTGCACTTCCTTCATAGGTTTGGCTTCCGAGTGGTTTTCGACCGTGGAGTATTGCAGCTCTACTTCAACGTGAAGCGCTGGCGCTACAGACGCTGAGCTCAGTTCCTGCACGTTGCAGTCCTGGTGGTCGTTTGCGGAGTGGCCAAACCTCAAAGTGGGCTGGCAGTTGCAAACGAGCGTGCCTGCTCCCAAAGACATCGTGGCAGAGGCGGTAGCCCATGCTGGACCACTCAACCCAATCTCGACCTACGTACGCAGAGCCCAACGTCAGGAAGAAAGAGGGGCTTCGCAGTTATGTTTGGCACGGATGCTGACTGGCTCGTTCTTTCGCTTCGTTATTGCTTTGTTCTCAGGTCATGAACTCTTGCCTGGTGATGTGGACCCGGCCTTATGCTTGCTTACATGCCTGACAAAGTGTCTCTGTGTTCAAGGGCACAGATGGTATGTGTGTCAGATTGCTACAATCCTCTGGGTGCAACGCGATTGTAGGGGTCTGCAGTTTTCTATGGTCACAGCATATGCAGCAAGGTTCGGGCGATTGCAATTGACCTCGGTGACATCCTGGTCTTTGAGGACATGGGCACCAAACAGAGACCAGTGTACTTCGCGAGTCGTCATGCAAACGACTCCAGTTCGCTCTTCGAAAACTTGCAGAGACCTGCAATGAACGGCAACTAAGGCTTCCAAGGAGAAGGCCGTGCATGTGCAATCAAGCATTTGCCATCATGTCCATCCCCCTGGGAACTGCCGAAGTTTTCGTCAAGGTATCCTTCTTTAGTCTCTCTGCCTGTCCGTCCATGTGTCTTAACTGCGTTCGTGTTTGGGCTTTATGCCTGTTTGTGCGGGCATGTGTACCTACATGCGTGCATGCGTATGCACATACATGGCTACACGCACTTGCAGATACTCATGCTCATTCGTACGCACGAGCGGCGCATGCTTATATGCACGTACATGCCTGCGTATATGTTTATGTTTATAGTTTATGGTTATGTCCATGTTTTCGTGCATATGTATGTATGAATTCATGCATGCATGTATGTATGTACGTATGTATGTATGTATGTGTCTGGGTGTGGAGAGCCGTCGAACTGTTCGAGCTGTTGGAATGATGAGTAGGCGGATGCTTAGTCGACAGTAGGAACCCCTTTTTGGTGACAGGATCGGAAGCCACAGTGCTCTGAAACAGGTCGAGACGAGCTCGTGTGTGTTGCGGTGTTGCCTGAAACCTTGAGTTTCTCGAGTGTGAGTGCCATGTATATATGCTTGTATGCATGGATGTATGTATGTGTGTACGTATGCATGAGCCTCGCGAGTGTGAGTGCATGTATGCCGTATGTATGTATGTATGTATGTATGTATGTAAATATGGGTATAAACATGTGTGTTTATCATGTATGTGCATACATGCATAGATGGCACAGATAGATGCAGACATACATCTCGCAGAACAGGACATACTTGTACATTCTACAGGTTGCATGCAGCTTACCTTTTCGGTGGGTTTCGTCCTTTCGGTGCGTATGTCTGTGATGTCCGGGGTACGGAAGGGTTACTGTAGCACTTTCAGAGAAGTGCTCTTCATGCTCACCTTTTTCCGGTGGCTCCCAGCAGCCAGGTCCTGACCTGGCAGTCGTTTGTCGATCGGGCCGGACCACCTGTACAGCACAACTTCGACGCACACAAGTTTGCGTGGATACTGCAGTTCCACTGCAACCTGCTGTGCAGTTCTGCTTGGGGCAGATGCTAGTTGACTTGGTCAACTGTTCGGTTACACACGACATGCTACCGTGCCTCCAGTCGCACGGCCGATTGCCAAGCTCTGAATGCCTCGTTCAGGATATACTTGGCTTATGGCAGGAGGGTGATTTGCTTGGGTCCGAGCTGGCAGCGTGGCTCTTGCATGCGAGCTTCGGGAAAAGCGAGTGCCTCGTGGAGGCTGCAGTCCGACGAGCTGCTGGCGGCAGCCTCACACCGCTCAGCACCGATCTGAGAATCGGGAGTCCAAGTGGTGAAGCTTGCCTCGGCTTGGCTGGCGATTCTGCTATAAGTTGACGTTGGATGTGTCGAAGGCAGAAGAAACGATGCGCCACACGAAGCCAACGAACCTGAACGGTGGCTGGGTCCTCGGTGTGCGGTGTGTGCTATGCAGCTGCGTGTTGGCATTGCTTTGTGAAGTCTCTCGGTCTCTCAGCGATGTGTTGTTTTGATTTTTTTCACCTGGCTCTGGCCTTGGGTTAAGGTTTGGTGTTGTGCCTGCCCAAGCTGTCTTACAGCGTCATGTCGAGTTCGCGATTGGTGTCCCCCCTCGCCGAGCGGGCAGTGTGAGGTATGAAGTCGCCCGAATGAGGGAATCTGGATATACAGAGGCCCGGAATGTTTCGCATATTGCAGCATGCCTCACCGCTCGATGTGCTGTTCTGGTTGGATGACTGGAGGACACTTTACGAGCCGCACGGCAAGGCCTGGTGTTTTCGGTTTGTGAGCCGCCGCTAAACCAAAGGTGTTCGGATGAACAGGCCTAGAGCGTGGTTACGGGCACTTCTGCATGTGGGACCAGGACATCATCAACGTGCCGTGCTCGGCTTTTTTCGAACTCGGCTGTCTAGAGCTGGAGACTGGAGAGTTACAACCTGTGCAGGCCATGCACCAGGACTTGTGGGGAGGTCACCGCGTGCGAGCGCCGGGCCTGTCTTCGTCTGGTTGCGGTCGGAAGAAAGAGTGAAGAAAGTCTTAGTGACGGTTGGTGGCAAAAAGGTGCTTCCATGCAGGTGGTCACTTTTTCCTGTGGCAGGCCTGGCCAACCTTGGCTGTCCAGAGTTGTCGGTAATAATTAGCCTGAAGTGCTTCTGCAATACACGCTCGTATGCCTCTTTGGAATCTGTCGCCGCCAAGTGCAGCAAGTAGGGGCTGGCCGTGCTGTCGGGACTCGAGCTTCTGTCAACCGGTGGACGTCCACAGCTTGCACGATGCATGGCCTCGTGAGAGGTTGGCAGTTTTTCTGGAACACGCCATCTTTCTGGCAAGGCTCTTGGCCTCGATGTCTTGTTTACGTGTCTTGCACGCTGCGACTCTGCCACCAGTACATGTACGCATCTAAAGCTCGCCACGTCGAAACTCTACCTCTAGAGAGCCAAGTGCACCAAGATCAGCTTGTCAATGCCTGCATGCTTGCGTGCTGGAGTCTCAGGCTTGAGGAATTTGTCCAGCGAAGACGCGGGCATCTCGGAAGGATGCGAGCCATCTCCCCCAGGGTTGCGGAGAAGTTTCTTGAGCCCTTGGCTCCGAGCAGCCATTGCGAAGACTGCAAGGCTATCCGGGATTTCTGGGCGTTCACAGCTGAGTCGCTGGGATTCGTCTCTTCTTGTTTTGCCGGAAGCTAGCTCTTCGAACCTCAGAGGTCGATCACTTTGAACACTTCTGCCCTGGACCTGCTGGGTCCCCATGCAGAGGGCAGCCAAAGCTTGTGCTGAGCAGGCAGCATAGTCAGGCTGCTACAGACACCTCTGGTTACGCGCTGCAGGTCTTGATGCTGCACACAATCTTCGCATTTGGGGGCAAGAGGCAGGGCAAAATCGTACGGTGCCCTTTCACTAGAGTCACTAGAGTTGACATGTTAGCAAATGATCTTGCAAAGTGCAAAGGCAGTGCAGTCTTGAAGCAAAGACTCGTGCAAGGGACCGTCAGTTGGCGCGGGATGTTGCGCTGGTCGTCGTCCCAGCTTCGCTTTTGCTTACGAACTCGGTTTGCGTGAAAGGGCGCAAGGAATAAGAGTGGCCGATGCCTGGATACAAAGAGCCTCTTGTTGCCCCCAGGTCCAAGGAACTCGAAATGATCAGCCAGGCTCTGCAATACGTGGAGCAGACGGTAGTCCGTGCCTCAGCGCGGGAGCTTGTAGTCAAACACCTGAATCCAGGATCAGTCGCAAATGCGTGACGTATCCTTCTCGACATTGAGGCATGTGCTCTTGTGGTGAAAAAGCGGCACTCCTGCACGTGCCCTCAACCATGAAGTCCGACGCCAAAGCAAGCAAGATCAGATTTTGGCGATTTGGCAAGTGACAGAAAACTGTCCCATTCGCCCAGGCTATGGCCGTGGGTGCAACGGCTCTTTAGCTTCCTCAGCGCCTTGGAGGATGTAGGTGAGATAGCCTTCCAGACACTTGCCGTTGTGACGATCAAGACGACGCCAAATCAGCAAGACATATCACTTGAGCAGGTGTTTGGCCTTAGGCGCCCCCTGTGCATGCCAACTTAAACAGCTCATGCACTGGCTGCATGGAGGCCCCATCTACTTGTAAGGCAATTGAATGGCAAGTGAAATCCACAGGAGATGTGGGCTGGTAGTTGCCGACAAAGCCGCGAACCCAGGTCCACCTTTCCTCGAGAAGGCGAGCGAAGAAGCTTTGTTCAAGCTGGAGTCCTTGGCACGAGCTGGCTAAAGCCATAACACGATTTCTGAATCTGGTGAGGTCTCGCACGGAGCAGGGCGAGGACGACCAGTGAAGGCCCAGAAGCCCAGCAGTCAAGGAGTGTCTTTTGCGCAGGCGATCGGTGGTGGATTTTGGGGTGCCGAGGGTCGGCACCTCAAAGCTGACGTTGATTTTGCAAGAGTTGGACGCTTCAAGCTGCTCGGCCAAAATGCCATCTGTCCATTCGTTGCTTTGCAAGCCCTCACATCCCAGATCATTGAAGCCTCCAGGCCAGTGGAACCCAAGAGAGAACATGTGGATGCCGCAACGTGATACCGTGACGGCTTCAGCCGCTCGTGAAGCCCAGCAATGCAGGCACTTTGATGATCTTTGATGCGTCTGGTCAAGACCCCGCTCGCTCGAGTTGGCCAGTGTCTTTCTACATTCTCGGGGCGCAAACTTCGACTGTGCCGACCCTTTATTTAATTGCTCCCCCGCCCAGGGCTCACAGGGCTTCGGCTTCACTGCCAGACTCCGGCAGAACTGCACGCACCACACAAACAGTGCTTGTATCAGGCTGCCACGATAAAGTTTGTCCTGTGCGATCCGAAGGTCCGCAGCACGACAGCCAGAAGAGCGAAAGTGCCCCCCAAACCCCGGTAAGCCTCCGGTTACCCGGTTGCCTGCCACGAAGAAGCCCATCTGCGCTCGCGGATGTTGCGCGCACTCGGCGTGTTGGACGACGAAAGGTTCCTAAAAGGAGGCCACGCCTCCGTTCTGCACAGGCCATCAGGGTTCCTCGGCAACATGCACTCTTGAATGAATCTGCGCCCAGTATGACTCCACAGGTCACTCGTGCGAGGGCGGAATCGCACACCATGTCTGCAACCTGTACACAGCTCTAACATCTGACGGTGGGGACGAGTTTCAGCTTTTGGCCTTGGCGTTTCTTCGTATCTGGTAGCAGTTCGTGAGCAAAGGCATTCTTGCCGTAAAAGTTCTGCGCACGCGCGGGTGCAGAATTACGTTTTTGCGCCTGCGAGCATGTAACAGCAAAGGCTGAAGACCCCCGCAAGCCGTCAACACGCTGTGAAATCTGTGTGAGACGGGACCTTCCTTGTCATCGATTCCAAGGCGAGAAGGAGATGTCTTCCATGAGACAGGGGACGCTGAGGCAGGTGCAGGGCACAGGGTGGAACGTCTTGCTGCACGTCGAGAAGTAAAATGTCCAGTAGCCAGGTGGGCCATGTCTGTCGGAGCGACGCTGGTATCCAAGAACTGTGCCGGCCACCCATATCATCCAATTTACCCTCATGTCGAGCCGCTTGCTTGAAAGGCCACGCTGCCAACGAACGACGGCAACTATGCAGGCTGGCCGGCTGGCCCTATAGACTTTGCTCAGGAAGTTGTCGCCCCGCCTTCCAGATTCCATGACCCAGGGGATCCAGATAATGCCTTTCAGGGGCTATGGTAGAAGATTCCCCAGCTTCCGCTTGTAAGCCTGTCATGAGGTGACATGAATGAAAACGCGGTAGACTCTCCGATACAACCAGAGAATGCCACAGCTTTCGGCTGGTGTTGGTGGCTGTCTCACTTGCTACTCTTTCGATATGCAGCTGCCGAAGCGAAGCTACTTGAGCCGTAAGTGGATGCCAGGTGACCCTCTCAATTGCTCTTTCGCTGCTGATGGCAATCATTGTCAACCAGCTTCGGTTAACCGAAATTTTGACGCTACGCCGCCCGCCTCGGCTTGCCGGAGACCAGCAGTGTGACAGAATGTAAAAGGAGCAGAGCGGATGCAGAAGTGGGGGGGGGGGGGGCGGCAGGCAGGGGAGGGGGGGCAGTACCTGAGTTAACCCGCAAAACGACTGGGCCTGCGGCCTCGGCCGATTAGTACCGTAGTGTTGCTTATCATCGTCTATCCATTCGCATTCCTCGAAAGGATAGCATTGCTTTTCGACCTAGGAGTGTCTCATTGCACGCTCATTGCGCCTTCAGTCGTGTCCGCAAGCCGCGATTGAGTTCCAAGTTCCTACTGATCGTAGTATGAACAGGGAGGAAGCTGTCACGTGATGGAATGATCGAGTTGTCTTGTTGTGTTGACTAGGAAGGAATGAAGTCGGCAGTGGGTGGCAGAATCGCACAGCAGAAAGTTGCGTTTACATTCGAGCTGGAGTTAATTAATGATCATAGAGTGGTCGCTCTCCACCCGAATGAGCACCTTTCGTCCGTCTTTCTGAACCAGAGGGAGGTGGGTAACCCTGCCTTAGCAAAATTAGAAAGCGACCGTTACCGATACCTCTCACTGGCCGCACGAACGCCCCTTGCAATCCTCGCGTTGCCTTCCGGCTCTTCCTGCCCTGCCCATGCTCTGTCCCAGCCACTAGTGCCGTTACTTCTCTGGCTTTATCAACTGCACCCTGGACTTCTTTTGGTATTTGGGGGGTGGGGTCGGCAGGCAATCCGAAGGGACGAAAGAGTGGATCGCCCAGAAAAGCTTTGTTCCTGTATACTGCCTGTATCAAACTGGGAACTCGTGAAGCAGCTCCAGAAGATGCTGTCGTTGCTGTGAACACCCTGAGCAGCCAGTTAGCAGGAATGGCGGAACCACGCGGCTCTCTATCCCGATGGGTGTCTGCCCTCTTACTCAGTCCCCAGGAACAGAGCTTGTCGTCGCTACAAGTTGAATCGAGAGTACGTAATGAAAGGTTTCTGCTGAGACTCAGAAGATCCAAGCAGTAGCACCGTTTGAGACGTCAATCAGTAGAACATGATCAGCCTGCCCTTCCCTACCAGAAAAAGGATTTGTTTGGTGGCGTGCCTCCAACTTACATGTTGTCGGCGTAAAATCACGGTGCTTATCAAGAGGGGTCGCTATCGCGGTACCAGCATGGTTCATGCGATCGGAGCCTGTCGTCCTGCGCAGATGTACAATTCGAACACTGGGAGCGAAGTGACACGCTCACGCTGGTGGCGAGCAGCCCAGATTGGCGGAAGACGTGCATGCCTGGTGGGCGATTGCTTCCTGCAAGCCTTCCTTGCAACAAAACCACTTACACAGAGCACGTTGTACCCAGGTTCAGACGAATGCCAGAGAGGCAGCTCGGTTGGTTTGGCGAACCAGAAGACTTCAACCACTAGCTGAACATGTAAGCTCCCAAAGCTGTCTTGCCGAAGTGAATGCCGGTTGCAGTCTTCGCACTGAGCGCAGCGAAAGTTTGGCCCAAGACACCTAAACGATCAAAATATTGTTCCTCTGTTCGCTTTGGCTGCTGCACCAGGACTTCCCGAAGCTGAACTTTATGGAAAGCGCATGCTAAGTATTCTAATTCTAGGTATGTGCCCACGGGGAGCTGTAAACTTTGGGTAGTTTGTATGAGGCCGCTGGATCTTTGTAGAATTCCCGAGGCAAGCTTCCTTTTGCTATGCAGACCGATCTGCAAGCCGGTGCAAGCTTCACTGGCTTTCCCTTCCCTCCACCTCACTGGCAGCTCTTCCGGCCGAACTCCCAGGTTCTCGTCGCACCTCCCCGGCTTCCTCCTGGCGATGTCTTCGTTTTTGGGGAATGCGAGCAACACACGCAGCTGGACCTGCGACAGTCGCAACTCGATGCTGAGGAGTGGCTTTGCAACCCAGAGGCGCCGGACCTTGGTGCAGAACTGCTGAACCTGCATGGAATGCTTCAAACAAGCTGCTTAGAGCTTTTCGACTGCTTGGCACAGAATCCATCGGAGTACCCGACGCATCTTCGGCGGCTGGGACATGTGATCAAGAATGTGCAAGCATTGCTGCATGTGTTACGACAGCGTGAGGCGAAAGCTGTAGTCGTGCAGCAGTTGAGAGATCAGGTTAGTCGGAAGCGGGCCTTTCTGGAGGAGGCAAGAGCATCTTTGCCCAACTTGCGGCAGCGGCTGGAAGACATTAGCAAGAGCTGCAGCTCCACCGATGCCAAGCAGAGTGACGAAAAGCAGAAAGCTGGGAGCAAAAAAGATGAGCTTGCCGCCAGACATGTGTGCAAGTTTGATCACTCTCAGCGGAACAACTAGGGACGACCATCTGACTTCGACACGAAAACACCCTACCCCTTAAAAAAGAAAGCTCCCCCCCCCCCCGCAGAGAAGCGCTGTGCGAGCCGCTGGGTGACAGCAAACTTAGCCCAAACTTCCTGTGAACGTCGCGAGCCATCCACTAGACCTTAACCTTGGAGGAAGAGTCGAGGCCGAAGACCATAGCCGTAAGCTGAAGCCTGGAGGACGCCCATGTATTTCTGGGGAAGATCACACCGATACCGAATGCGCTCCATGCGGTCGGCCACGTCCCCGGCAGTGTTTCACATTTAGATGATGGAGGGGCAGAGCCACCTCGAGCAGACATGAGAGGGCTGAGAGGGTTTAGCATGGTTTAGCCATTCTCGGCATGCTGAAGTGGAATCCGTTTCTGGCTGAGCATTGGGCATGCATCTGGTTTTCCGGTCCAAAGGCAGTAGTGCCCCAGAGTCTCCGGGCGCGGGTGCCCCCGTGCAGCGCAAAATGAATGGTCGTGGCAGCGGCGCTGAATCAGATACCTACGATTCGCCGTGGATCCATAGCCGCAAGACGTAGCAGTTCCGTTTGCAGCTGCAGTTCGATCAAACGTTTGTCCTTTACTGTTGTCCAGGCAGGGTGAGAATTGGAAATTCGGGATTTTAGTACAGACCCACAAACAGAGTACTTGCTTCAGGTCTGTGGATATCTTCCACTGCTCTACAGGCCACTTTGAGTGCTGACAGCGGGCTTGCCAAAGTGGGTTTAAAGAGCGTCTCTCGAATGGTGAGCAGCCGGAGTACCTACAGATGTGCCTCGCGAGAAATCATGCAGCGTCCCCTCCCTTTGCGGGCAGTTTCCTAACCTAGTTTACCAATGCGTTGCAAGGCCTGCCTACGCCAGAGCTCGCTCCAGGGGTAATCGGCAGCCCGACGCGCTCCCGGGCTGAGATGCCAACGTCCAACCACGAGAAGCTGCTGTGGTGGTTGGATCCAGCCCGATCAAAATCAGAGTCGTGTGAGGATGTACCTCAAGTTGACACTGACTTCAGCGGCTAGGTCTGGATTCGGTACATACTCCCAGTTTCTAGTAAATGCTGCGGGTGGTGAAGCTTGGGTGCTGTTTCTTAGGAGCTCGTTTTTACCCGAATTCGATCGATCTCTCAAGGTCTTCCCGATGCCATCCTGCATCCGCCGTGGGAGCTGTCGGAAAGGACGCTTGATCGACACGCAATGTACTGGCAGGAAATGGCAGGAACATGTTGCCCAGAAGTTCGGACTTTGCTCATTGTCTTCCGAGCAGTAGAGAGCTTTCTGGGCTTGGTCGCGATCGTTGGCTCCAGGGTTCAGGGCATGCCCGAAGTGGGCGCAACACGATGTGGACCTTCAGACAAGGTTTGGCAGAAACTCAGCATGATGTCGCGAGAAAACGTGGCAGGCTTGAGGGTCAGGGGTGGGAGGGTCAGGCACTGGTGCGAAGTGAGCAGGTAGGCGAATGCCTGAAATCCATGCTGACCAAGTTAGCATGCAGAGCAGTAGTTGCAGGGCATCGTAGCTTGTGCTTCGGAGAAGGAATGCGGTACAACAACAAGTTTGACCTTCAGACTTTATGCTCGTGCCGGGAGGACACATCCGGCTCTGCACGTTTCGCATCAAGAGGCTGTGCAAGTTGTGGAGTCTTCAGGATTGCAAAGTCTCAGCGTGGTTTACTTGCTTGTGCGACCTTGCGAAGCGTGTTCTGAGTGGGCGTGCCTGCAGGTGGAGTTTGACAACGCTCCGCATCTTCATCGGGTGGTGGAGAGTCTCTTTGATGACTCAGAGCCTCTTGTGTCTGGCTGGCACTGGGTTTCTGTTCACTTTTGAGCGGAGTTTCAGGTCGCTGTTGCCTGTGAGGTCACGTCGTCACAGACAAGCAGTGATGACGGCAGCTGGTCACAATGCACGACGGCGATGCTGCGGAACCTCCCAAACAAGCAGAGGCCTCAAACTCCCCTTGGCAAACTGCGGGCGATCACAGATGGTTGTTGTTTCAGTTCGTCTCGGCGGATCTGCTGGAAGCTGAGGTACATGCGAGACAAGCTGGTGGAACAACTTAATCGCTGTGGCTACAAGGGCAAGATAGACTTTCTGTATCTTCCAATCGATTTCAGGACCCGGCGCAGGGCTGTTTTCCGGCAGGGTTTCCGCTTCCATTCTTCTCTAGTAGATGCTAGATTTCATGCTCACAGTGTCGGTTGTAACCTGCCAGACTCGCCCAAAAAGGAGTGAAGGTCTGTGCAGCAATTACTTCTCGAATCTTGGCTCTGTCGCTGCATGCGCAAGGAACAGATGCAATGTCGGGTACTGCTTTATCAACTTCCGGACGCCACAAGCGTTGGTGCGATTTCGGGATGACTTCCATGGGCGACGAAGCAGCTTGGACTGATCATCCGACCATCGGGTATCCGCATGGTGTCGGACTGGGCGTCCTGGAAATTGGTGTTGGCACCATGCACCACCGCATTTTGCAACCGGCTGCTTTGCAGATTCCCTCTAACCTGGTGACCCGGTGGCAGGCTGTGATAAGCTTCCTGGGTTCAACAGCAAGAAGGTCCTCCAGGCTGCGGCGCTTTGATGATTTGAATACGGCCCTGATTCGAGAGATTTAGGTATCGTTCGTGCAATTCGGTGCAGTCAAGCGCGACGCATACACGAGCAAAAAAGGCAGCTGGTCGCAAGCAATCATCTGGCGATGCAGGTCTCCCCAGCACGCGTGCAGGGGCTCCAGGCGAGGAAGCCGTTTCGCGAACATGGCATGGACTTGGACTCTGCTTCGGTGTGTCCAGAGGCTAACGTCCTGCGCCTTCAAAGCAGCCCCATCATGGAGAGTACGGCGATGGAGAGGGAGTGGCCGGCAGCCCCAGCAGCCCCAGCCATCCCAAGGTCTATTAGCTGCATAGTTTCAGCTTGAGGCTTCCGGTCCTGCTCGACCCGACCGGAGAATTGCTCGACTTTCCCATGACCCTGCAGCCGCAGGCGATCTTCTTTGACCTTCTGCTTGAGGGTCTGTGTGATGTGCGGTTGCTTATTGAAAACAGCGATCCGTTTTCTGGGGCGCACCGCCAACAAACCAGGAACCAGTTGAAGTTGTCGTTTGGGCAAACGCTTGATGCCCCTAGCCTTAGTCAGAAAAGAATCAAGCCCCGTCGCCGTAGAGGCTGACCACAGAGTGGGTTCGCGGGTTAAGCGCTACTTAGCTGACCCGGGTATCTTCGGAGAGCTGTTTCCCAGTGCCAGATGCGAATGTGTGAGGTATTTATATGTATGAGTTACGTTAAGTCCCAGACGTCAAGATGTCAAGCCGAACAGGTTGGAATGAGGTTGAGGGGGGTGGGGGAAGGTTAACCAGGTGAGGTGAGTTTCCTCGCCTTTCATTGGCAAGTTGCGATCGGGAATCACAGACGAAGGCGAAGTGCATGGAGTCTGGAAAGTCCGCACGGCTCTCTGGCTTTCGATCTCAGGCGCGCAGTCTCTTGCTGCAGCAGAGTATAGTCAAGTTTGGGCTGGTTCAGGCCGGTTGGGGCTTTACAAGTAGCTGCACTACTGGAGTGCCAGGCAGCGACGAGAAGGAAGCGAACAAGCACCAACGTGGCCATCGCTTGTAACAGAACCATGTTCCAGCTGCCCGGCAAGAGTGCACGGTACGAAGCCAATGCTTTGTCTGGCAGAACGAAGCAGGTGACGTTGAAGTTTCGACATGCTGGGATTCGCAAGGTGACGCTGATGGTGACCATGACGTCAGCGAGGCTATGTGTCGCAGCAGGCGCAACTGGTGAAGCACTGTTTCAGGGGTACCAGATACCCGCAGAGCGTGGGGCCCATTTTTGCCATCAAGCCGTAATTGCTGGCCTTTTGAGTATGACGTGCCGGCAGCCGTGGTACAGTTGCAAGGGCTGCCTGGCTGAAAGAGTGGGTGCCTGGGGGCATTCCATGTTTTGTGAGCCAACGCAATCTTTCTGGCGCCGGAGCAGGATTCAGGTAGCCACGGATATATCTCTAGTCGAGAGTCTTGACTTTCGGTTGTTTCGGCGCTTGCGAGTGGCGATTGTGGCGCAGCTGGCGCTTCAAATGTTTGCTCCGCTAGCTAGCTGTGTCAGTTGCACATCGCGGGCAGTATTGATTTTCACATTTGGTCCTTTTCATTTTCTCTCACTGCACAGACTTGAAAGGATCGGAAACTCACCCCGCAGTGCATGCGCAGCCTTTTGTTCCAAGTGCGCACACACTTCTTGGCCTTCAGCACATGGCTGGGCATTTGTACTATACAGCTATATACCCCTGCAGCAAATGTAATTTCAAGTACTAGTAGCTCACAAATGTGGTCATTGACACAGCCGCCTTGTTTCAGAAATCGATGTTCTGTCTTGAGTGTCAGTGACGACATGAAACTGCCCCGACTGGCTCAGAGGCTGTCCATATTTTTTCCTTTGAGCGATCAGCTTTCGGAGGGTGGTTGTTTCGGAAGCTGTGTGTGTTTAAGTTCGGCATCGCTTGGCACTGCCACGTGTCCCTTGCTAGCTCCTCAGTTGTGCCGTCCACCTCGCAGCCTCGGGTGCTGGAGCTGTGGGCGTGCATTCCATGGTCGGCAGCGTACGCTAGCTCGTCATGCCATGCTAGGGTATATGGATTCTGTGAAGCAGGACACAAGAATCCTGTTGAAGTTTTGGTGTTTCCGTGTTCCTGTTGCTGTTCATCTCGCAGCAGGACCTTATTGAAGCTTACGCGAGTGTAAGACTGGGTGCTGTGAAATCCGGGTTGCGCCATACTGCTTTGACAATTTCCTGAAGCCTATGCTGGTCTGGCTCTTGCTTGCCCCGGGGCCCATGCCACCAGCTGGCTTCTGGTCAGTGTACGTACATGCATCGTCTTGCATTGTGTATGCCAGTGATTGCCAGTGCACAGTGTACGCGCTCCAAGGCCTGGAAATAGCGAGAAGCTTAGATGCTTCAGAGCTCCAAGATTACAAGTGTTAGCCAACTCCTTGCCAAGGTCGTAGATTCTTCGGACAAGTCTGGAACTTTGCTGCGATGGGGTATGGGCATTCACGGTGCGCCAAGCCAGACTAAAGAGCTTTCAGGAATAGAATTTTGAATGCCCTGCTTCATTGCTAGCCGTCGCTGCAGGGGAGCAGCTCGCTTTCCACAGTGGCCGCATCCTGCAGGATGAATTGTAAGGGCAATTTTGCGTAGCGGTATTCGATCTTGCCGGCAATGTCGCAGTAAACTTGTGCTTGACCTTGATGCACTTCATGCCAGCCGCCGTTAGTTTGATGTTTCGGATATGTTTTGGGTAATGATAGAAGTTGGCTCTTGCCAGACAGGACGACGACAGCTATTCCACATTCTGGATACAGGCCAGCTGGGCATGTTGCATAAAATCAACCCGATAGAGTGCGATCATAGTGCGCATGCCTGGAAAGATGCAAGTACGAAACTGGTCGCGAGCGATTCCTCGTGCATGACGGCAGCAGCTGGAGAGTTTCCTACATTCTTTTATTTTCGTTTCAGGCAGGTCTCAACACTTGGGTTCGCCTAACCGTGTAATGAAGCTGAAGCAAGCACGAATTCACTTGACACCTGCTTGCTTCAGGTTTGCGAAAATTCCCGAGCCACGACCGTTTGGCATCACAATATCACAGCACAAGCCAGGGAAGCCAATCCACGCCTGATGTTTGACGTGGCTTGAGGTTTAAGGATGGTCTCGAGCAGGCAATGAGCCGTAGATTCCTTAGATACCCCGAGCCGTCGTGCTCATTCTACAGAACCCTCTGACCTGTGCACGCTTGTTTATAAGGGCCGCCCAGTGGCAGCAGCAATCAGCAGCAGATCCCACAGGCCGCAGGCCCCCAGATTCTCGGGATACGAGTCTAGATGACATCATGCTTGCACCTGGCCTGCCTCCTCGATCCGAGCAATGATTGGTGTCGCCGCCCCATGGCAAGAGAAGCTTCTTAGCACAAACGCCGCAGGCCGACCGGGACAAAATCAGAATCAGACGCAAAGTTGTAGGCTCTTGGCCGTAACGTGTACCGGAGGTGGGAGGAGTGGTTCGTCCACCATCGGCAAAGAGAAGTTGGAGAAGCTAATGCAAGCGCCGCCTGCAGGTGCACTTGGTTCAATGCTTTATTAGATGCCTTAGGCACGCATGCTTGCATGATGGGATTGCTAGCCGAGTAGTGGCGCGAGGATTCCTGAGTCAGCCCTTGTCCTGGTACCTCAAGGTGCGCGCATCGCAGCCGCTGCATCCAGCTCACTGTTCGTCGCTGGTTATGCCAGAGTGCGCAAGCAAGCTTCTTGCTTCTGCAAGCTTTGCGAATTTGAAGTCGCGCGCTTGCTGCCTGAGGGTATGGTCTGAAAGCAAGATTCGCAGCTGTGCGGTGGGTTGAAGAGTGGCTTCCGTGCGGAGTTCCTCTACTTGGAGGATCTTAGAGGCTCCTTAGTTAGGTCTCTGGCAAGCTACGGCCTTCCAAGGCTTGGTGGCAGGAGACCTCCTGCTGCACCACTCCGGGCAGGCCCTTACATGCACTCGAAGGAATTTTAGGCAGAGGAACTCGACCGCAGCTCGCCAAGGCACGATCTCAGCGTTCAGCCTGCAATGTAGGTACTGCTGCGGGAAAGCTGATGAAACTGATCAAAATGATTGGTGCTTTGGCTATATATGGGCAGGCTTGAAGCAATTCTCGTAAACGCATCCTGGTAGCTGTGATGATGGGAGCAGCGGACCTGACCGGGCGGAGCCGAGGTCTTTGGGTTCGGAGCGAGTGCAGGTTTTGGCACTTCTTCTGCTGGCGTGTGTCGCAAATCAGGCCTGCCTGGGCCCCAGCTTCTCTTGGTCCCTGCTCGAAAGGACTTTAGGCCTTTTGCAGATGTGGCCAGCTGAGGCCGAGCCCTTCCATTCTACTTGGTGGATTTCGCTCCCGACGCGCAGGCGATGTGCGAATGTGCTGAAGTGAGGCACACTGTATTAGGTGGCCGAGAGATGGCCGGGCCTGTGGGGGCCTGGAAACGATGTGCCGAAAGGACAAGCAGCAACCGAAGCATACCAACACGTGCACCAGACTCTCCAGACACCTCCAGCCGACAAGATCTGCTATCTGCTATCTTGACGAAAGACACTGCCGTACAAAGTTCCCTCCCGACCACTATCCGCTGATACTACCTGAGCCCACCATGGCCGCGTAGTCAGAGCACGACACGCGTGGTGATGCTTGATTCGGCGCGCACCGGGCAAACTGTCGCCAAACCTTCTCCTGTTACCGCTGCTGCTGCTGCTGCTCCTGCTCCTGGTGATGCCCCTGCTCCTGCTCCTGCTGCTGAAGCCAGTCAAGGTAACCGTTGCAATGTGTTTCAACGCCAGTCGGGTTGTTCTGACGACGATACAGCTCGGCATGCCGATACTGGCCAAGCATTGCTTGCGATGCGTCAGCTCACCAATTTCGCTCAGTGCTGCTTGTCTTTGATCACCTTCTACAGAATGGCCTGGTTGGTTTGCGTCTAGAAGTGTCCATTCTTGAAGCGACATATGCACATGTCCGAAGCCTCGGATTAAGCTGTGTCTCCGAGGGACCAGTACTTCAGCATCTTTATCCCGCCCTGCTCACCCTTTTGCTTCCTGGGAGTGTGGCTGTACTCACGGTGGCTTCCGCTACTTTGAATCCACTGGGCTTACGTGGTAGTGCCGCCCAGGCGTTACGCGTGGCTGGTGGGTTACGGGTGTCCTCACCTGCCGGGACTCGAGTTCGGTGTTCAGGATCGTTTTGCGTTAAACATGCAGACCTCCGGCATCGATTCAATCCAATGTACACAGAAGCGTATCATTGTGGCTACCGAGTTTCGTGCTCCTTCGCATAGAAAAAACATCTGCTTGTGCATCGTTGCGTGCTGTAGAGAATTTTGTCCTTACCAGCAAACCGCCAAGCCCAAGCAGGTCCTAGATAGCAAGATTCTTCGCAGACCGAGACGTTTTGCTTGGGGCCGACCTGTGTGAGAGTACCCGAGTGCAAGTGCAGGCGGATCGAGCCATGAACCAGGACCTGACGGGCACGATTGTCTTCGCAAGTTAGAAACTTTCAGCTCGAGCAGCGAGCGAACCGCAGAGCTGGAGCTGTTCAAGCACCAGCGCAAGTCCGTCACATGTCGTGGCACTTCCTCTTACAATAACAAGCATGTCCGAGAGCAACAGCCCAGTTTTATCCTTCTTGTGCAGCAGGACTTAGCCTTCAGCTCGGCCGATTACGGCCTTTTCGCGACTCTGGGATTCACAATCCCGCATCTCGGTCTGCTTGATGCTCGTGAAACACGCCCTGCCTTGTGATCGGCGCGAATACGAGTCGCGAATACGAGTATATACCTGTACGTGCCGAGAGCTACACGCAGGCGCTTGCTGGTCTAAGGTTTACCATCGCTTCGCTCTGGGCTGGGGTCGCAGCAGACAGCATCGATCGATTTCGCTTGACCGTGGCAGCGGGGATTGGCTGGTCGGGTTCCAAGCGTAAAAGACATCGTGCACTACACTCAGTACACATCATAGGTTCCCGCCAGTGGCGACTTCTCTGCCCACATCAGCCTGCGAAGGTCGATTGCCACGGCAAGCATGGCATCGGCCACGTCCTACAACATGCTGCTGTTGCAGCGGGGACTGCTGGGACTTTTCCAGGACAGTGCCGGGCAGCCACTGCAGTTACGATCGTGCTAGCTCCTGAAGCCATTTTTTGATTTGTTTGTGACTGGCCCCGCATCTGAAAAATGGAGGCTGCCACAAATCCTGCGGCGCTCTCTGTCATCTCGGAGCTTTTCCCAGATGTTGCTCAGCTTTGGTACTTTGAATAAGCTGGTTCGCTTTGCTTGATGCCAGGACAGATTTTCACAGCTTGCCAGAAAACGCATGCATCAACACGCTCTGACGAGAAAACCGGGCATCAAGCCATAAGCCATGCCTGGAACAACAGCCGTTAGAGTTAGCATGTGCGGTGCAAACAAGGAGGATCCGTAGACAGTACGTATCAGCATCGTGAGGCTCATCGGAAATTCCTGAATTCTGACCTTCCCTGAAGGCCCGGGCGACTGCGAACTCTGTCTTCGGGTTGGGGATCTATGTTGGGGGCGCGGTGGCCTCCCTCGGTGCGGCCGTCGATGAGAGGGACTGACAATGTATAGGCTTCTGCGCGCAGCACATGCGGCTTGGGCTTGCTCACTCGCAGGAAGGCTGGAGAACGGCCTGCTTGGGCTTTGGCTTCGTCAGCCGCTTGTCAGATACCGCTCTTGTGTCCAGTGGACCAACGGCATCCCTACTAGTATCTGTGATTTCTGTGATTCTCTTGGCGGCTACATTTTGTGCGCGGACACCTGACTTTTGTATCCTTCTGTCGTAGTTTCATTGCAGCACAACCCAGTCAGCTAGGCGGGAGGCAGAAAGTCGTGAGGTGCCTTGGCATCCTTGCCGCTCCTCTTCCGAAGAGAGGCGTGTAGCTTGCGTCAATCTCACAGCATGAAGCCATGAAGATTACTCGCAGGCCTCCGGGCCATCCAAAGAGGACGCGCGGTGGCCAGCAGATCCCTTCGCGCAACTGTAGCTCACTTGATGTCATTCCTTTTGGGTCTTTGTTTGAGAGCGTCTTCTACCGTTTGCTGATGGTTGCCAGATGGATGTGCCACCCCGTGCAGGCAATCAAAGGTGGTGGCACTGCCTGGTGCCGCTTGCATGACTTGAGAACGTGCCATGGTCCAACACGGGGTTTTCACTCGGCAGAGATTCCACGTTTACAGTGCTCCGATGAGGAAGCGCTGAGCGTCGTCACAAAATCTGCGGAGGCAGTGCTACTCTTCGTTTATTGATGTTTTCACCGAGCCGTCATCCATTGTTCTGACTTGTCCAACCAACAGGGGCGGCAGGACTGTTTGCGGCTGCAGGACGTTTCGGTAAGATCCGGCTCGAGTGCAAAGTGCAACTCGGGTTGCGGCGTAAGCTTGACAAACCACGCTTTCTGAACAGTCCCTGAAGCGCGCAAGCTCTTTTTGTACACAGCTCGTTGTTACCAAACTGAGTTTCAATTTGAAGCTGCGTTTGAATTTCAAGGCTTCGAATATCTTCGCCTAGTTTCTCTGTGAAAGTGCAGGCCGTGTCCGCACCCTCTGCACGCTGGCTGCTCCTCGCATCGACTCTTCGTTTCAGCGCAGGCCCTGCCAGTGCATGCCAGTGCTGCAGACGACGCTATGTGGCGACATAAGTTGTGGCAATTCACAATGGCCGAATGCCAGGATTCGCCATCTTAGTGTGGCTGCCCACTGCAATCCGAGCATCATTCCCGAATGATGTGGAGCAGACTGAGCCTCAGAAGATGAAGCACCCGTGCCG